GGGACGTACACTGGTCAGGGTAGCCATACTCCGGGCCCAGATTCTAAATCGGAATACTAACCACTGAACTATGACGTTCGAGTAAAAATAACCAGACTGGAATTACGGGCAACTTCGTGTACGAGAAATAGACACCCCAATGAAAATAAAATTTAAATTTCCGTCCATCAGTGCTCTGCAAGGTGTTTTACAACGTTACTACCCCCCGTAAATAGCTGCGTGCGGGGGTGATGGTCTACAGCAGGGTTTGTTTGCAAGGGGACAGATGCCTGAGGACACAGATATTTTTAAAAGGGGGAGACTGGTAATGAATGTGGAAGGGTGCGTAATTTCCTGCCCCAGCATCGCCCTGTTAATATATGTGCTTTTTAATGTTCTAGAAACTACGTGCTAAGCTAACACATCCAGTTTTACTAGTACCGTTTAGCACACCCTGGAGCTACGTCCCAGTTAATTATACATTGGTTTTATATCTTTGGTGTTCCGACAATATGTCGAGATAATGAAATGCATTTTTCCTCAGATTATTATACTGTATTTGCGTTTATATGCGATCTTTGCATAAATTGCATGATGGAAGTATACGGATACACTGATGTAAGCGGTCTACACTAAGAATTTTCGCATGTAACTAAATCAGGTTTATGAGCGTGTAGTTAGACGTCACTACTTTATTATAAATGCCTTATCACAGAAATGAAAGTGCTTAATAAAAATCAGCATGATTTTTGGGGAACACGTTTCAAATTGTGTATTTTTAGTAGAATAAAGGAAAAATATTATAGATCTGTCATGTTCAAAATGTCTTTGGGCTGATAACGCAGACGGAAAAATGTTTGTTTCCTTATATATTAAAGGCAGTAATATGTAAGTAAAGTAGATTCTTTCTGTAACAATATCCTTGAAGTAGAAATTCTTATACAAGTTTGTGTTTTTCTCACTTTTCTTTCAAAATTACTTTTCTATATTATGAGTCAAGTTTAACAAGAAATTCCGAAGAGCCGGGAGGTAGCATGTATGTAAGATAGTTTTAATTCAGTGCAGAACGACTTCTTGTAAAGTTTTATACCATTTTAGAGTTTCATTAAAACTGACGATCTGAGACATATGTACAGCAGTGGTAACTTTATATACCCTCTTATTTTCATGTTCAGTAACTCAGCGCTTGGGCCATACAGGCTAGTTATAGGCCAACCTTGGGTTTTGTTTAATTCTTAGAATGAACATCATTAACCGTCTTCACTTTGCAGCTGTGTAGCCATGAACAGAATAGGAGTCATAAGTACTCCGAGAATTGAATGGTTAAATCTTTTCGTCATTAAGTAACTGATGAACTTTCCAAGCTTCCGGAAAGATGATCAAATGCGTTATTGATAGAATCTTGATTCCGTTTGAAGATGCATGCCCTGGTGACGGAGGCAGTATGCCCTCTGAAACGTTGGTAAACATCGACCAGACTACACAGCGCAACAACACAGAAGACAGAAATCTTCATACTCACCGCTGTGAAAACCTCAAATCATACATTGATTCCGTTTGTTAAGTTGTGGAAAATGTCTGTAATACTTCCTTATGGCTGTTTACCGGAATGGTTGTTGGCGCGATATAATGTCGTAATCATAATGCTCAGTTATCTATACGGGGCAGATATTACCGCTAGTAATGAGGCACGTATAAAGAACATCCAGCCATCAGCCAGTAGAAGCTTCAAACTAACGACGAAACGAGCAGCTCCGTTTATCGGATTTCACTCCATTACAGCTTGAGCAGGGCTGCCGCCTCGTATAGACTGCCTGAACACGGGAAATATGTTAATGGCGGACTCATTATAAAATGTACGGTCCATCTAAGCTTTATTCATAATCGGAGTGGAAGTTTTGTCAGATTTATTGATTCTTGGGTTATTTGATACCGGGTTTTGAACTTACAGGTTATATCAGGGTTTGCCAACCACTTCCACATGGCTGAACAGTGAAGTGTAAAATGCGGTTTCTCACGGCACACCAAAACACATTAGTGAATATGTAATTAAACACGGTAAAAGATAAAGAGGGATTTTCAGACAAACATTTCAGTTTCAAGCCAGCAAGAATTTTAAGAAGCGCAACGCAGGCCGACGAGATAATAAAACTGGAGTGAGCAGGATTTCTCAGCTGTTACTATACATTTCGAACGGTGGTAAATATATAGAAAACATTCAGTAGTAAATTTTTGCGGCACACTGGTTGAGAAACAGTGGGTGTGTAGGATTAGTGTAGAGGAAAAATTGTGAAAAGGGGAAATACGCGGTCGTGGCCTATTTGAAGGCACCGTTGCGGCATATTCCAGTAAGGACTTAGGACCATGAAACTTTCAGGTAGGATAGATGATTTTCTCGCTCAGGTTTGAAGTTTGAACCTCCCACTTATGAAACAGGCGTGGTAATAATTTCATCGCGAAATTTGGCTTCATAATGTAGCCCCAAGTTATATATTTTGGCCCAAAAGGTTTAGACCATACACAGAATTTAATGTGCTCTTATTTTCGTCGTGAATATAACCTTTAACAATTTTTTAAGTGATGCGTGATATAACCAACTTCTATATAAAAGAAGTATTACGCTTATCATTCTGTTACCGCGAACAATTTAGCCGGAAGGCTTCCAATAATTAGTCTTAGATGAGCCGTTTTAAATCGCCTTAACACTATCTTCGAATATCTCCATTTTACTTTGTTATTATGAAGTGCCTGTCTTCTGTAGGTACGTTACGCTCTGAAGTCTGCTTGCTAATGACGCAACCAACTCGTCGATGTGATTCTTAGTGCCCAAAAGTGGCGAAAGAGTGCTCTGTATGACATGTTGACGTATCAGGGCTTCATGCTGTCTTGCTAGAGCACTCGGCCATAGTGGTTTCGTATGAATTTATTTAAAAGTAATCGTGTCATCAAGTAGCTGAAGTGTTTTGTTTGTGCATACATTAATTAATTACTCTTGCTGTCTTTACGAGAAGTGTTCGTTTCAAGTTGGCAAAGATAGGAATTGCGTGGTGTTTGACGATTTGTATAACGCATGAATTGTAGTTCATCTGTTTTATCATTGACGTGATTCGACATGTTCGCTCTCCCATTCTTTTGTGCGCCATTAGTATTTCACATACAGAAACGCTGACAGCTAACGTGTTTGGAAGAAAATGTGTTGATCGTGAGCTGATCTTCAACGTTAGAACCGCAGTTGGCCATAATATATGTAAGTAAAAACAGTGCATTTAGTTGTTTCAGTAGCTTAGAAGAAGCTGTTACAGATTAAAACAGAATGGGCAGCGTACTAAGTAGTAAACAGTACCTGGTTTAATCATTGAAACTGGGTGAATATATAGCACCGAAACATCTATATAGCAACGCTTATCAGGAACCGATGGAAAGTTTATTGCTGTTTTTTATACATTGAACAAAACGTCGTGCACTCGTTCGTGTTCCTGTGGGACAGAGATGCACCTTCTGTGGTAATATTCTAGCTCCATAGCCAGCAGGAAATCCAGTGGCGGAGGGCGGATTTTTCAAAAATGCTAACCAAGTATGAGAATTTTGGCAATGAGTATATACTTCGTCTTCCATGAAGCACCCGCTTACAGCAGTTACAGTATTTAAAGCTTAAGAAATGTGATGGAGCCCTCCACATTAAATTCCAGTACGCAAGCAGATGTTAACATCTCAAGACGGGCTAACGTGAGAGCTTCGATTGTTATGTATTCGATCGTATAATCTCAATCCTATACCGTAGCCTGTCTCTTCTAATTGCGCCTGCGCAACTTGGCTACGATTGTACGTCTCAGTTAGCTGGTCATTACCCTGATGATTGAGGCATTAAACACATCTGAAACGTCGGTCAACTTGTACGTGACTATACGTCTCAGTATTCGAGAAGGCTGTCATCATATTCGTTGCCGTGAGAACCTGATATCTTAGTTTCTTGGTTGGTTAGGTAGTTAGTTGTCCAATTATTAATTACTTA